CTGTTATGGATTTGAGTCAAATCATCTTCTTTTCGATCTGTAGAAACTGTTTTAGTTAATCTCTCTGGAATCCAAATGGGCTGCTGTTCTCCCTGTGGAAAAACACAAACAGACCCCCGACTCCAGACAATCACTGGGTCAGGACCTTTCCATTGTCCTGTTAGAATATCTTTCCAAAGTACTTTAGGCTTATGTAAATTTTTTGGATACATATGCCTTTCCGCAGCACTAAGTCCTGAAGAATCCAAATTTTAAAAGTTTAGAGTAAAAAGGGTTATTTTAAGTTTATCTATGGGGGATATATACCCCTTTCCAATTCCCTCTTTTTGCTTTAATAAGTATGTCTGTATCTAATAGTTGTCTTAGCTTTTTGCATTTTCTATCTGTGTAATACCTTACTTGACATTTTCAACCATTTTTTATCTTATTTCTATCTTCTAGTTTTTTCCTAAGGTTTGTATATTTACCCTTAGTTGCTTATTTTCCTCCTAGTTTTTTTTTGTTGTTGTTTTCTATTTTGTGGGTTTAAAATTGTCTCCCTACATCTTTTTTATCTTTCTACATCTTTTTTATCTTTTTTCTTTTTAACTTTCTATACTTTTGTCTTTAAAGTTTTTCACTTTAAATTTTTAATCTTCTTTATCTAAATATCATTTATCCTGTTATCTTCCCATTTTTTTTAAAGTAATGCCTTTAAGATTAACTAGGCTTCAAATGATGCAATAAAGCAATCTTTTTTCCGCCATGAAGGTATCTCAACCACCTTCAATTTAACCTTTTAATTATCATCTATACTGTACTTTTAAATGTACTTTTTCACCACCTACAACTTCACTCTTTTAAACGAGGCTTAGATTCTGTTTAAATCGCTTTAATGTTAGTTTACATGGCTGCCCTTCAACCAAAGGCTTTTATTTTTTAACTCCATTGAGAAGCTTTGTCTCAATCTGCCATGTACAAATACCTTTTTCTTCTTTATTCCTTTCTCAAGCTTTTAAAGTAAGTCTAATTTCCTCAAAATCTTTTTAAATGGCATTTTACAACTTTTTACTTTACCACACAGAGATTATCTCATCTAGAAACATTTATTTTTCCTTTAACCTTTTATATTAAAATATATTTCCACATCTTGAATCTTTTTCTATCTCTTTTTTAACCGTTAACCCTTTTTATAAATTCACATTTTGAAACAACTCTTATAAAATTTCTGATTTAGACAAATTACTCCACTTTAATAAAATGAAAGACTTTCATGTTTTTTATGATACTATAATACTATAATTGAAACCCAACTGAAAATTTTTCTACTCTTTGTATATAAATTACACATGATAGAATCTTAACATTTAGTAACCTTGTTTTAGCAAAGACAGAGACACAAAGCAATATTAAACCTTTTTCCATTTACCAATTTATGAAAACACACATAATGTTTAAATATATTACCTTATGGAACTTAATAAGTAAAGAGTACTTGATTTTATATTTAGTGGTTGATATTTTAACACTTCAGCTTTGTAAATTAATCAGATGTCTGTAAAAACCAAGATCTTAGACAAGTGTAGTAAACAGAACTAGCCCTCTCTTTCTTGTTGAAGAAAAATCCTTCTACAGGATACCATGATGGTCCCATTAATATACTTAATAATTGCAAGAAGTAAAAGCAAGAATCAATAAATGGGATTGTATCAAACTAAAAAGCTTCTTCACAAGAAAGAAAACAATCAATAACACAAAGATATAGCTTACAGAATGGGAGAAAATCTCTGTTATCTGCACCTCAGATAGAACATTAATCTCTAGGATAATGGAAGATCATTTGATTCGACAAGGGAATGAAGGGAAAGAAGGGTGGATAGGAACAGGAAAGACAGTAGATGTATCAGACATAATTTTCCTATGTTCATATATGAATACACGACCAGTGTAACTTCACATCTTGTAATAACCACAAGAATGGGAAGTTATACTCCATATATTTATGTCAAAATATACTCTACTGTCGTGTATGTAAAAAGAATAAGTTAAAAAAAAAAAAACCTGGGGGCTGGGATTGTGGCTCAGTGGTAGAGCACTTGTCTAGCACGTGTGAGGCCCTGGGTTCGATCCTCAGCACCTCATAAAAATAAATAAAATAAAGGTATTGTGTCCAACTACTTCTAAAAAATAAATGTTAAAAAAAAATACGGAGGTGAGAGATTTGGGTGTTTTTGGTCTTTTCTGGGCATGTGCGTTGTCCTTTGCATGTTCATGGTCTTAAATTTCCAGGAGTACGTAAGAACTTTTCAAAGCCATTATGGACATCTCTTTCCCAAGCTTTTCATATTAAGCTTTTTGATTAGTCTGTTATTTGTCCCAGTTGTTACCATCACTTACACTTTCCTGTAATTTTTTTTTTCGAACACTTGGCTCAGTTCTAGTCCTCTTCTCCAGGGAGAAGTCTCTCAACATTGGATAAGAATCAGATAATTACTATACAGGTCTGATAATGACTATTTGAAAATGAGGCTTTGAAAGAGTTCCAGCTTTGATTTGTTGCTCTATTGGCTTCAAAGTTGCCCTGGCAGTGTGGAATCAGAATAAATAAAAACTATATAAATCATTATTCTTAATCAGATTCTAACATTTTTTTTTTCTTAAGTGAATACTTCCTGGGGGTTTTTCAGTAATGCATTGCTTTTTCTTTTTCCCTCAGAGTTGGCAAGAGTTTATTAGAAAGTGAGATAAGAATGTATAGTAGGCACTGTAACAGGATGCCTCTGGACAGACTGTATGTTGTAGATTTTCGGGGTTTGGGTTTCCTAAAAACTGAGGTTCTTGGCTTTCTTTGTTATTGTCACATTCTGTTATACCTCTTTAAGTGGTTTGTTACTCCTTTGTTTAGTGCTCAGAAAATTTTCTTTCTGAGGGTTGTAAAGATCTCGTCACAAGGGGTGGGTATTACATGATCTTGGAATAATAATTCCCTTAACAGGCTATAATTATCTATGGCTGGGGGAGGTTTGACATATCAGTTCCCATTTTCAGAAGCTTTTCTGCTTTGGTAAGTAACATTCCCTGTGCTTCCTGGTTCTGTGACCCATGGATTCTTTTTTGATATATGTTCACTGTCCTGTCTAAGTAATTGCCCTTCGTAGTCCTTTCCCCACTCACATGTTCATGGCCGCCTGTTTGCCTAATATTATCCCCTCAAGGACTTGGGCCCCTAACTTATTTTAGGGTAATTGGGCATCAACCTATTCTGGCTGCCCCTGTTAGAGACGTCAATGATGTGTGCGAAGCTGATCACTGTCCTTGCGTTCTGTGATGTGGGGTATGGACGTTTAAAGGTATTCAGCATCAAAGTCCATGGTAAATGTCAGGAAGAAGAGATCCTGATATAAGTTTTCATAGTGGCAGTTGCTGAGCATTTGGACTAGATATACATGTGGGTAGGGATCATGCTTAGACATGTATTAGAACTCCCACCAATTTGAGCCTTCAGTGAGGTCACATGAGGTTCTATTGATATAGATGGAGATGAAAGTATAAGAGGAAGGTTAAGAGGCTTTTTTTTTTTTTTTTTCAATATAATGGGCTCTGACTTTCAGAAATCCTATTGTAACTGACTTTCAGTCTTTGCTAAGGTGTTGCCCTGGCCAGGAGCCTTCCAGTTTGTCAGTTGGTAAGACCTGCCTTCCAAAAAGACTAAAAAAACACTTCCAGCCTCTCATCCTGAAGGACTGGATTTCAATTGTGGCCTTTTGGTCCTACTGAAGGGTTGTTCTGGCCAGAGACTTTCAGTTGGCTCAAGAAATCCCTCCAGTCACCAAGAATCCAAGGTGTAGAATGAAAGTTCAGAAAAGGCTTAACAGGGCAGAAACAAAAAATATTAGATAGTAAATACATAAACCAGCAACAGTTGTTTGTTATTTTGAAATTTATGTACTGTACATGATTGCATATGCTATACTTTTATATAGCTGGCAGCACAGTAGGTTTGATAACATCAGCATCACCACAAACACCTGAATAATGTGGTGTACTGTGATATTATGAAGGCATTGATGTCAGTACATGATAGGAATTTTGCAATTCTATTATACCCTTGTGAAACCATCATCACATACTCATTTGTTGTTGATGAAGTGTCATGCTTAACAATTATAGGATGATTTTGATAGTTTTTTTTTTTGGTTTGATTTTATAGAGTAGCAAATTTTTGGAGATCCTTTTCTAACTTTGGTTGATTTTTAAAAAAATCTGTTTCTTCTTGAGTGAGCTTTGTTCTGTCTTTCAAAAAATTTGTCCTTCTGTTCTATGATGTTGAATTTATGAGCATACAATTCTTCTCACTTTTGAAATATTTTTCTTTTCTCTATAATGTAATATAAATACTCTAAGATGAAGTCTTTTTTATGACAACATTTATTCTGTCTCATGTGGGGCTGTTTGTCTTTCAGTTTGAAATCTGTCATCAAAAATAAATATAGAACCTATAGGGTTACTTTAGAATTGAAGATGAGCCTTGCGCAGTGGCACACGCCTCTAATCCCAGTGGCTACGGAGACTGAGGCAGGAGAATTGGGGGTTCAAAGCCAGCCTCTGCAATGGCGAGGTGCTTAGGAACTCAGTGAGACCCTGCTCTAAATAAAATACAAAAATAGGGCTGGGGATGTGGCTTAGTGGTCAAGTGCCCCTGACTTCAATGCCTGGTAACACACCCCCCCACACACCAAAAAAGGAATTGACCAAGATGAAGTGATGTGTTTATGTATGTGTCCATACATGTTTTTGACAAGCCCAAATTTTAGGTTCATAATATAAACAGTGAAATCTGAAAAGAAAGAATTCTTTTGAAGTTTCATTATCTTAAAAGAATATTTTTAAAATTTCTTTAAATGTCTGACATTAAATACAGTAGAATTCAATTTAGAAAGTGTTTTGTTTCATAGTGTACATCTTTTGTCTTGTATTGCAATTCTGAGTCTTACAAGTTTTATTTTTATTTTCTGCTTTAGGCAATCCTTTATCACAGGATATTCTCAACTTATACCAGGACCCAGATGGAACACGAAAGCTACTGAACTTCATGCTTGACAATCTTGCAGGTAACTAACTATTAATGACAAAAGGAGTATACTCTCCAGATAATATCATGGTAGAACATTATTCTTTTCATAAATGGAGTGCTTTCTGTTTATTAAGCAATGTTCTAGGAAATTTAGTTACATAATTTTAATTTTTCTAAGAACCTAGGTGGAAGGAATTTTTCTAATTCACATTTTACAGTTGCCGCAGTCTGGCTGGGCACAATCAGGAGCCACTTGTCAAAAGAAACTAACTTTATTTTTAGAACCACACACGCCAAACAAAACAGCCTCTCAGGAAAAACCCTCAGAGCCTCAACTGCCACCACCGGCTTTCCACAAGCCTCTCTCCCCCTCACAAGCTTCTCCCCACCTCCCACAATCCTCCTGCTCTTGAGGCCGATTGGCTGGGTCACGTGGGCGGAGCCAAAAAAGTCCCCCAATGAGCAGCTCCGTGGTCTGAAAGGGCAGGGAAACAGTCCAATGAGCATCACCGCAGAGGAACCAATCAGCTAGATGTTGCTGGGGCCGCTGTGAGCCAATCATCAGCCGGCAGCTGGAAGTTTGCTGGCAGCTGGAAGTTTGCTGGGGCCCCTTCGGCTGTGGCTCTCAACATCTCCCCCTCTCTGTTTAAACAACAAGCATGTGGCTTAGGGACCGTGCCTGCCTTAGGTTGTCCAGTAGTACATATGGTCCTTAGGTTGGTACCATTGCAATTGGATCTTACCCGTCACTGACTACCGGTCCAGTATACAGCCACACCTGTGGAGAGGTCTTTGTACCAGCGGGGGGGTGAGGTTCTTTGCCTCACCTCTGTTGGCCCCCAAATTTTAGCTGGACGATCATGATAAGCAGAAGGGAGGAAGATACACCAAGCCAATTGACGGCTCCTTTTGGAAAAATTGTACCACCAATGACATCATCAGCAAAAATACCCCAACACTACCACAAGTCGCTGCACCAACAGATAGTTCACAATGCATACAGGTGAGCTCACAATGTGTCCAGGCAAGTTCTGCAAGCAGTTCAGTGATGGCTATTGTAGAAGCTGTAGATTGGTTTTATCTTTGACTTCACCAGCACTGGGATGAAGATAGGAATTCTGGCAATAATGGCTAAAGAAAAAATTATGTAACATTACAGAAGGCACTAAAAGAAAACAATTTTCTTAACAATTTACATTGTCTTCACCGGCACTGGGATGAAGATAGGAATTCTGGCAATAATGGCTAAAGAAAAAATTATGTAACATTACAGAAGGCACTAAAAGAAAACAATTTTCTTAACAATTTACATTATCTTTAAGAGAATTATTAAATATAATGAAAAGGAAAGGTGAAAGTAAACAAACAGATGTGTTAACCTTCTTTTTTGTTTACATATTAAAACAATCCTCAACAGTTGTTTACCCAATTTAAATTAAACCATATAAATCACGTGAAAAAAAATATTTGGATCCATTTTATCATGAGCGCTCATCATATATGATATATGGACATACGTACATTCAAACATATAACACAAAACACAAGTGTGCACACATAATACAATACATACAACACATAACATTATAGTAAAGGCCTTATAACTTTTTACAGGTGAAATCTCCATTGCAGTGTTTAAAAACTATAGTCAAAAAATAGAACTGATCAGCAAAACATTAACCTAGGTCTGTGTGAGCTCAAAAAACAAAATAGAACTTCATGATATGGCAAAGGGCAATAATAAAATACATATTGAAAAAAGCATCCTGGTTCTGTTGCAGATGTAAGAATAGCCAAACTGGAGTTTTGGATATCAGTTGTTATGGATTTGAGCCAAATCATCTTCTTTTTGGTCTGTAGAAATCGCTTTAGTTAATCTTTCTGGAATCCAAATCGGCTGCTGTTCTCCCTGTGGAAACACACAAACAGACCCCGACTCCAGACAATTACTGGGTCAGGACCTTTCCATTGTCCTGTTAGAATATCCTTCCAAAGTACCTTGGGCTTATGCACATTTTTTGGACATATATGCCTTTCCGCAGCACTAAGTCCTGATGAATCCAAATTTAAAAAGTTTAGAGTAAAAAGGGTTATTTTAAGTTTATCTTTGGGGAATATATACCCCTTCCCAATTCCTTCTTTTTGCTTTAATAAGTACATTTTAATAGTTTGATGAGCTCTTTCAACTATGCCTTGTCCCTGTGGATTGTATGGGATTCCTGTTATATGAGTAATGCCAAATGTTGAGCAAAATTGTTTAAAAGAGGTAGAAGTATAACCAGGGGCATTATCTGTTTTTAACTGTTTTGGAACAACCACAGTGGCAAAATTTTGTAAGCAATGAGCTATAACATCTTTAGTTTTTTCTCCGGCATGAAGGGAGCCCATCAAAAATCCAGAAGAAGTATCAACTGTAACATGCAAATATTTTAATTTTCCAAATTCTGGCAAGTGTGTGACGTCCATCTGCCAAATATGGTTAGGTATCAATCCTCTAGGATTGATTCCAAGATTAACTTGTGGTAAAAAGGTCACACAATTTTGACATTGTTTTATTATTTGTCTAGCTTGTTCCTTAGTTATTTTAAAACGCTTTTGTAAAGTATTAGCATTGACATGGAACTTTTTATGAAAATTTATAGCTTCTTCTAGTGTAGAGAAAATATGTATGTCATGTGTAGTTTTATCTGCTAAATCATTGCCCAAACTAAGGGCTCCAGGCAATCCTGTATGTGCCCTGATATGTCCTATAAAGAATGGATCTTTTCTGTCCCAAATTAGACTTTGTATAGTGGAAAGCAAAGAGAAAACAGTAGAAGAAGGGGAAATCCTACCAGCATCTTCAAGAGATACTATAGCATTAACTACATACTGACTATCAGAAAATAAATTAAATACAGAATCTTTAAACATCACAAAAGCTTGTAAAACTGCATTAAGCTCTACCTTTTGAGCTGATTGTTTGGGTACTAAAAATGTAAAAGTTTGATCAGGGGTAACTACTGCTGCTGTACCATTATTTGACCCATCAGTGAATATATTTGGAGCATTCATGATAGGTGTTTTTCTTGTCATTTTTGGAAAAATTACAGGATGCAATGACCAAAAAGACAATAAAGGATTAGATGGTAAGTGGTTATCAAATGAAACATTAGATTTGCACATGATTATTGCCCAAGTATTTAACTCATTAGCTAACTCATCAATTTGATTCATAGTATATGGAGTAATAATTTTATTGGGAGAAATTCCAAACACTCCCTTTGTTGCTTTTATTCCTTTGAGTATTAATTGTCCTACAGCCTCAGGATACCTAGTAAGAATAGTGTTAGGAGAATAAGATAAATGTATCCATAATAATGGACCTTCTTGCCAAAATACTCCTGTAGGAATATTTTTTGTTGGTAGTACAATAAATAATAAAGGCAAACTTATATCAATTCTATCCAAATGCATATTTTCCATATATGTTTCAATGATTTTTAATGCCTTTCTTGCTTCAGGCGTTAACATTCGGGGTGAATTTGGATCTGATGGACCTTTTAGGATATCAAATAAAGGTCCCAACTCTCCTGTTGGTATACCTAGATAAGGCCTTATCCAATTTATGTCTCCTAATAACTTTTGAAAGTCATTAAGTGATTTGAGTTGATCTACTCATATTTGAATTTTTGGTGGACGGACCATGGTTGAGGATAATAGAACTCCTAAATAATTAATTGGAAAATTTAATTGTATTTATCTATTGCTATCTCTAGATTATAATTTTTTAATAAGTTTGTAAGTGTGGCATAACATTCTAGCAATGTGTTTTTATCTTTGTGTGCTAATAATACATCATCCATATAGTGGAATATTTGTAGTTCAGGATTTTGATTTCTAAGTGGCTGGATTACTTTGTTAACATAAATTTGACACATAGTTGGGCTGTTAGCCATCCCTTGAGGGAGTACTTTCCATTCATATCTCTGATCAGGACCTTCATGATTCAGTGCAGGGATAGTAAATGCAAAACGTGGACTATCCTCAGGATGAATTAGAATTGAAAAAAAAACAATCTTTAATATCTATAACTAAAACATACCAGGTTTTTGGCAAAGCAGACAACTGAGGAATCCCTGATTGAGCAGGTCCCATAATAACCATCTCATTATTAATGGCTCTTAAATCTTGCAATAATCTCCATTTACCAGATTTCTTTTTGATGACAAAAATGGGAGTATTATGGGGAGATACAGAAGGTTGTATATGTCCTTCCGCTAATTGTTGTTTGACCAGGTCATGGGCTGCTTGTATCTTTTCTTTAGTCAGGGGCCACTGAGGAACCCATACTGGTCTTTCTGATTTCCAAGTAATTTTTATTGTCTCAGTGGCCCTTTCTGAAAATCCAACCCATGTCTTTCTGTTCCTTGATCTATTTGTATTGGTGCTGCTATACCTTGTTCTTGTTTTTCTAATCTTTTTCCTTTCCTAAAACCTTGTCTAGTCATAATAGTGGGTGCATTTTGGTTGATGTTATTTGTTAATGTCAAACCTAATTGATCTAGGACATCTCGTCCCCATAAATTTACGGGAAGATGATCCAATACATATGGCTGTATAGTTCCTTCACATCCTTCAGGATCCTTCCAGTCTAATACCATTGCACTTCTATGGGGATTAGTCACCACTCCTAGGCCTCGAAGCATTTGAGTGGCTTGTTGTAATGGCCAATGTTTTGACCATTCTTGACGAGAGATGATGCTAAGGTCTGCACCTGTATCCAGTAGCCCATTAAATTCATGTCCTTGAATATTTAGTTTTAGCATGGGGCGAGAATCTAAATTTAAAGAAAGCATAGCCCAATCTACACCTGTGGAGCCTAATCCCTTGGAACCTCTTTCTACAGTACGACTGGAAAATTTATCATGTAGGCTGGGTATTATTAGTAACTGTGCTATTCTATCTCCTGGTGAAATTACTGATATACCCTTTGGAGAACTGGCTATAATTTTTATTTCACCTTCATAATCGGGATCAATTACCCCAGGACTTATC